CCCAGCTACTTGGGAGGCTGAGGCAGGGCAATCGCTTGAACTGGGGAGGTGGAGGTTGCAGTGAGCCAAGATGGTGCCACTGCACTCCAGTCTGGTGACAGAGCAAGACTCCATCTCTAAATAAATAAATAAATAAATAAATAAAATAAAAATAAAAATAAATAAGTCGGGTGATTAATCACTTGTTCATAATGTTGAAGAGGATCATGAAGTAGATAAAGTTAAGATAGAAGGCCTCTGAAGTCCTTTCTAACTCTAATAATAATATACACCAATTATTAAATGCTCACTAAGCTTGGCTAAGTATTTTATAGGTCTTATCTCATTTAAGCCTCACAATAACCCAGTAGGATAGGTATGATTGTACCCACTTTACAAATGAAGAAGCTGAGTCTAAAATCTGGTAGAGCCTGTAGCTGAATCCAAGTCAGAATGACTCGAAGCCCAGCTACTAACAATTATATTATAAATGTGATCTGGAAAACACAGTTTCTGTTTTGTTTTGCTTTTGTCAGTTTCTTTGCCCATTCTGCCAAACTGAAGCCAAGTTGCCTCCTAGAAAAAAAAATTTTGTAAACTGTAATTGTGTGAAAAGTAAAGTGAAAAGCCATTATCTCAACTGGTTTCCTTCAAATTTCTGAGAAAGTCAACATATTTCCCAAGGAAAACTTAAGCTTTTAATTGTGATCTCTTTGTGTTTTGAGAGTGGAGAACAGAATGGAAGAAAACAACATTTCCCAAAGAAAACTTATGCTCTTAATGTTGATTTCTTTATGTTTTTAGGAATGGAGAACAGAACAGAAAAATCCAGAAGCTATCCTGTATATTACCCTAAATGATGTTACAAAATCAGGAAAAGCTTTGGTTTCTTTTCGTTTGCCTGAGTTCTTTTGAAAACGCATTTTAAAAGCATCTGTTCAAGGAAAGGGAAGGGCAATGCTATGTTTTAGCACCTCAGGGTGTCTCAAATACTCTCAAGGGGCATTAAGATGTTTTCCAAACACAAATAATTCAAAATCACTTAAAATAAGGGGCTTAATCAGGTTTTAAGTAGAGAGAAACTTGGGAAATAAACAGAGTCATAGCAGGTGGTATAGAAAATCCAGAAAGTTTTGGCTTAACAAAGAAAAAGTCGAGGGAGTGGTGCAGAAAGGCAGAGAAGGAGAGGGAGAAGGAGAGAGAGGGAGAGAGAAAAGGAAGAAAGAAAGGAAGGGAAGGAGGGAGGGAGAAAGAAGAAAGGAAAGAAGAAAGGAGAGAGAGATTAAACTAGAATAGTCATTTATACTTGTGGTATGCTTATCAATGAGTTTCACACTTATTTTCTTGGAGAAAAATACTATGGAAAATGTCAACTCACTGCATTCTCTGACAGCTCCATAAAACTCTCTTAACTTCTACATTACAAAACTCATATTCAAAATTAAAAGCAATCATTTTACATATTTGAATCTTGATATTAAGATCCCACAGTGGATTACATATTTGATTTTTTCTTCCTGCTTTCATTTTTCCTTTACCAAGTTTGGAGAAATCTTTCCATTTTTTTTATCCATGATACATTTGAATTTCATTAATATTACTAATAAAGGAACCAAGTTGGGTATTCTTCCATTCCCCCTAAATTTTGTAGTTTAGATAGTTGCCTTCACAAATAATGTATAATTAAAATTGTTCAAAATGCCCAGAACTTAAATTATTCAATAAATATATACTGTCATATAAAATCTTGCTTTATGCTAATGCTGTAATCTTTTCTGCCAGTTCTATAGGGGTAAAAGTATGTTTCTTTTATTTTCATAATTCCCAGCAGAGTACCTTCCTAGGGATAAGCTCATAAAAGATATTTATTTAATTAATGAATAAATTATTATATGCATGAATTAATGGAATTTCTTATTTTTTGATATGGAAGACTTATAAACTGCTAATTATTTATCAAAATGCAATAGGAAATAGATGACCCAAATTTAAAGTAATAGCTAAAAAAGGGGGTAGGAAGATTTGGCATAGATTTTTAGATTTATCATTTGTCTTTCTTAATAACTAGAGAAAATGCTGGGAAATATATATCTCGCAGCTTAGAAAATGAAGAGAGTTCTGTAGTTTTATAATCAACCATTAATGTGTTGTTGGTGGGAAAAAGATGTTTAGTATCTAATACTGTGGTGTATTGAATCAAGAAAACTGGCATTTCTTCATCATTTAAAAATAAACATTATGTTGTGTTCTGGATACAGAAATTTGATCAATGCAAAACTTAAGCTAAAAGTTTTATTAGATATTTCTCTTTAAGTTAAACCCACACACACATACACACATACACACACACTCATGTCTAAATGTATTTACTATTTATTTTTTACTCTTAAAGTGATGTTATTTACATGTGTTGTTAGAATGCAAACCTTATCAGCAGGACATCAAGGATTAAGCTCTGGCAGTATTAAAGTTAGAACAGTCACATGTCTGCAAATTTTTACATAGTTAAAAAGAAGAATCACTGTAAAATAAATGCTTATTCTTTAATTGTAAGTGATGTGGAACAATGTGTACTTAGTTCTAAAGTTCAGTTAAGGAGACTTCCAGGAGGTGCATAGCTACTGTATGAGTGCGGGTGCAGAGATGGAGGATGCTTCCGGAAATCAAGCGGTGGAATTCCATGGTATATTCAGAAAAGTTAATAGTTCAGTTATTTCCAAGAAGCCTTCTTGCTGCAGACCAGTAATTAATGGTCCTGCTGCTCCTCTCTTTCACTGGTGCCTTCTTCTTCTTCAGGGAATGCTGATTCATTCTGGCCTTTCAGATGCTTAACCCCTGAAATTATAAAAATTATGCAAAATTTAAATGATTTTCATTTCTGGAATATTAACCGCTTTGCTGCAAGAGATATAAAAGAGTGGAAAGTTTTCATTTGGTGTTTATATGTTTTTCTCCAAGAATCTTAACAATGTAATCCTATAAAAACCTTTTAATTCACTGAGCAATAAAAACATACCCAGATGAATTTCCATTAGAGGCAGGCTATCTTTCATCATTAAAGCTTCTCCATTAGGGATTGCATCACAGCCTATTAAAAACCTGTTAACTAAAAATCTGCTCACAGATTCTTATTATAATTCTATAATTCTAATGTATCACTTAGTTCAAATATTGCTTTTGGCATCCCTCAATTCTATTACAACAAGAACTATTGAAACCCCTAGGAACAAAAGGGTGTGCGTGCCATTTCTGTGTCTTATAAACAACAAAACAATCACAATATTGTGAATCTTCTCTCAGAACCTAAACATACCAATGTGATTATGGAACTTCTCTATTCAAAATTCTTCAATAACTTCCCCCACAACCTACACAATGGGAAAAACATTGGCATACATTTGCCTGCTATACAAGGCTCTTGTAATCTGGGCTCTCTACCATTTCTCACCAGCCTTTCTTGCTTTCAGGGTAATTTACACTTAACAACACTAACCTACTTTTCCCCCTGGCCACTCCAGGCTCCCTCAGGCTTTCACACTTTTCTTGTTCTATTCTCATTGCCAGACATCTTCATCCTACACACACCTGATAATCTCCCACTCATCCTTCTGGTGTCAGCTTGCCTCCTCTCTGATGGCTACCTCAATTCCCCATGTAGATAGAGACTTTCTCATATTCCCCCTGCTCTTGGAACATTTATTGTTGATTACCTTATAGAACTGTATTTGTTCACATATCTTTCTCATTAGAGAAAACTCTTTGATGCTGAGAAATATGTAATTTCATTTTGGAGTCCCAGGCACAGTGCCTAGCAAACAGTAGGTACTCATTAATATTTATTGTCTAAATGATTGATTGAATTAATGAAGTAACAATTTGGTATGTGCCTTTGGCAGTTCCACAATAATCTATCTTTAGACTTTTTTCAAAATTATTTCAAATTTACGGCATAAATCAGAAGACAATTACAACAACCACACTCAATCTACAAAATTATCTTTCATTTCCCTCAAGTCTATTCTGTTAAGACATCAGAAGAGCTGAAACTTTATGCATCTAGTGACGGTTACTGTGAGAAATTTTACACTTTTTTGTATCTTATAAAATTAGTTTATGAGATTATTTTAAGTATTACTAAAAAAAAACACTCCAGTAAGAATTAATAAATGAAATGAAGTCACTATTCATGTTTGCTATAAAACAAAGAGTCTCAAGAAATGTGTAAGTTTGCATGTACGGCTGTCAGCAAGCCTCAGAGGGCTATTTGGCAAACAGTGACATCCTTGGACTTCATGGATTGCAAAATATTTTATCACTTGTAATAATATCTAAATATGTAATTTCATCTGAAAACATACATTATTCACAATTCTTCTTGATCTAACACTGTAGGGAGAAATTTGTTACTAAGACATGGAATTCATTTCATACTACCATAAATTACCTGAAAAAGAGGTCTCAGTGCTCAGGGAAAGGGAAGAGGGTTTATTGAGTGTCCAACTGCTCACTCTGCTGGAGTCTATATACATGAGTCACTAAACCTCACAACTCCTTGTGGTAAACACCTGTCTAGTAAAATTTAGACTTAGAGAAGATAAATGATTTGTACAAGGTTATAAGGGTATTGTGATGCTAAGAGAAGTTCTGACACATAATAGTCCCTCAATACATACTGAATGAATTAATGAGGGTATGAATGAGTAACTCATAAAGTTCCATTATTAAGAGACACTGATTCATTTTCACCTTTATCTTTCTGGCTGCTGACCCAAACTTTCCATCATTCTCTAGGATTTATCATAGGTTTGGAGTACCAATTAACCTGGCACCAAGGTCTTGGGGTTCCCTCTGAAATATTAAGGCACAGTAATCATTCAGCCGCCTGCCACTCCTCTTCCTGAGCTGAAGTTGACTATATCTTGCCAGGTTTGCAAAGGTTCTAATGACTCGAGAGCTCATCTTTTTCAAGGTAACTACAGAGTAATAAATCTGTGTTTGAGATAATGTTCTTTAAATAAGAGGTAATAATTTAATGTCCACATTGATTTGTCTAAATGAGGGGATTAAATATAAAGGAAAAAATCAATAATTAAGATGTTTAACTCATTAATCAATTAATCACCCACTTTCCACACTTGAGAATAGGTCTGCTTGTTTATCCTGATCCACATTTAATTATTTTATAATAATAATGATCACAAAATTATATGAAAAAGCCAAACATTTTGCAAAGTAAAATCACTCACTTGGACAAATGTTAGAAGGTCTTCCTTAGCCCTATACAATTGTGACACAACTATTTCCAGGTGAAACATTTTGATGAGGCAGGAGCAGGTGACATGTTACCAAAGAGCTGTTCAGCAGAATATCTACAACAAATTCTTTGATTCCCAAAGCAGTTTACTCTAATACTGTCTTTCAATTGGATAATAAACGATTGGTTGATGTGTGCTTTGAAGCAATCTTCAAGGCAATCTCTCTCTTTTCCCATCATCAATATTCATCTGATTATAGATGCAATAATGCTGAGATTAAAGTGAAAAGTCTGCTGAGGGCTATGTAATAATTTCTTTCTCCCTATCCCTCTCCTGCATCCCAAAACACACGTATGATTTGTGTTTTAATTTTCTTTAAATCTCCATTTGATGTTTGAGGAGGGTTACATTTGATGTAATTCTAGAGATGGATGAAAATGAATTGGTCTGGGGGTGTTGTTGAAATACTCAGAGCTTCCTCCTCTGCCAGATGCTAATGAGCATCAGGAAAATCCCTTCCTTGCACAGGGTTTGAGGCTTGGTACATGGCAAACAACCTCAGGAGCAAGTGCAGACTCAGCCAGGGCTGCATATGGGCAGAAGGCCAAGGAATCCCAAAAAACACATTGGAGGTTCTTTTCTTCAAAGCAAAATGAGCACACAGTAAAAGGGACCATGTAGAAGACAATGATATGCGATATGAAAATATGAAGGAATGAAGAAAAGAAAGCAGACAATAAAGGAAAAGGAAAAGAAAGAAATTTTGACCCCAAGCAGAACACAATACTTACTGTCTTCTCTATTCTGTAGATCAAATGGTTAAATGTGGATTCAACAAAGCTGTGAAGTAACTGAGTGAAGAATTTTGAATACTGAATCCATAGAGGGAGTTTTACATTTGGCAAACCACAGGTCAATATTTTTAATCAATTAATTTGAAGCCAAAGACAGGAGGCTCATTACATTTGTAGATAACACAAAATTTGGAAGAAAAGATGACATGAATGACAAAGTGAGTAAAGGTTTCCAAAAGCTGGAATGATGGCCTAAGCAATTAAGGTAGAGTTCAACAGAATTTGTGTTTTCAGAAAGGTTAATTTACTTCTTAAAAAAACGAAAATAGAGTATAAGGGCAACCTTAATTAATTACAGTTAGGGATTTTAGGTGACTACAATTTCACTTGACCTGGTGTATCCAGGCACAGAGCTCGTGGCAGTGTTGGTGGTATTCCTAGTAGTGAAGTTGGCAGTATAAGAAAGGGAACTGCTCTCTAACCACGTGTTGGTCAGACTTTTCCTGCAACATGCTGCCTAGTTCTCATCTGCATTTTAAGAGGACTGTTTAAGAAGGGAATTGAGATAAAAGGTAGTTTTATGACATCACTTTTCTGGAGGAATTATAGATGAAACTGGAATATTTAGCATAGAGGAAATTGATAGAGGACAATAGAGGCTGACTTCGATTTCCTAAAATACTGGAAAAGGAAATAAAATTAATCTATGTAGCTGCTAAGAGCAGAAATAGGGTCAATGGCTGACATTTGTGTGTATAGGCAGATTATAGCTCAATATAAAAAAGAAAATTCCCAAATTCTTTATGTTTGGCCAGAAATAAACAAATGAATGAGTTCCTCATCACTGTACATGTTCAAGTCAAAGCTATAGTTTCATCTCTGAGGCAGGTGATAGATGATTCCTGCATTGAGTAGCAGGGTGAACATGTAACCTTGCAGATCCTAGGATGCTATTAATCCACAAAGGAAATATTCGGCACTATTGAAAAATTAGCTCTGTTTTGAGTACTATAAGTTACAAAAAAGTAATAAAACGTCAAATGACATAATGGCCCAAATACACATTTTAAAACTAATTCACATAGGGAGTAGCACATGTAAATAGATTTATTTTGTTTTTTCAACTACATATTTTAGACCACGTAAATCATTCTAAAGTCCTCTAGGGAATCTATGGGTGGATTTTAAAGAGCTTCTGACCCTCTTGGAATTCTATTTATAGAGTATTTGTGCTTCTTCAGGGAAGGAGGTCAACAGTTTTCAGCAGAATCTCAGAGGGGTCTCTGATCTGCAAGTAATTATGAATTTGAATTCTAATCCCTTTAAAGATGAAGAGACAGTTTCAGATGATAAAATGACTTGCTTAAATTCCCACAGTGGTTGTTGGCTGAGCTGGGACACAAACTGTGGCCCTTAACTCCTACTGGGGACTCTTTACCTGGGTCACTAGGACCTCATCTTCCACTGTTACTGATTTTTTAGAAAGTTAGAATCTGAGGAAACGATGGTGACTCAGGATCACGAGGCTGTTTTCATTATCAGAGGATTTTACATCGCAGGTAGATTTTGGTATAACTTT